ATGGTCGCCAACCTCCGATGAGGAGAAGGCACATGAAAAAGGTTCTCAAAATTTTAGCAAAAAATCATTTTTTTTTTGGAAATTTTCAAAGTAAAATAACTCCGTTATTTTGAACTTATTTGAAAAGCGATAAAGAGAAAATATGTTTCTTTTATCGAGATCTACCACCCTTTAAAATACTTGCACTTATTTCTGGGATACCCTGTTTATAACAATACACGTGATGCGTATACGCAAAGTTGCGAACGATGTCAAGAATAGGTACCCAGATTGGCGCTGGCTACCAGAAAGCGGCAAACCTGCTTGCACTGTGTTCGCACACTTATGTGGTAAGGGTAGCCCACCCTAATTTTTTATTTTTTGAAAAGAAAAAAATGTTTTTATTTTTTTAGTTGGCATTAAAAAATACAAATAACCCTAAATTTTCACCGTTCCACCACCATCCCCTATTTTTTAATAGGGGTTGTTTTTGTTTAATTTTTTGTTATCATCCCCGAAACGGCTTGACCGATTTGATAAAATTTTATATGTATATTCAGTACGTCTAAGAATAGGTTATCTATTTTTTATACCCTTATGTGGTAAGGGTAGCCCACCCTCATTTCTTATTTTTTGAAAAGAAAATTTGTTTTTTATTTTTTAAGTTGGCATTAAAAAATACAAATAACCCTAAATTTTCACCGTTCCACAATCATCCCCTATTTATTAATAGGGGTTGTTTTTTTTAATTTTTTGTTACCATCTCCGAAACGGCTAGACCGATTTTGATAAAATTTTATATGTATATTCAGTAGGTCTGGCTTGGTTTGGTTTGGTCACAACCTATTCCTAGGTTGTTATCTATTTTTTATACCTCTAAGTGATAAGAGTGGTCCACCCCAACTTTTTTTTTTTTTTTTTTTAGACAATTTTTTTTATTTTAATTGTTTTATAGGGAGTGCTTATTTTTTAGGGGGTGCATGTTCAAAATTTTCTTCTGGGTACTCACTTTCATCACTTAAGGGACCTCTATACAAAATTGCATACTCCTAGTCCTAGAAGTCAGTTTTATCCCCTTAAGGAATGAATTCCAAAAATCGCTCTAATTATTCAATTACGCTACATAATAAACCTCTGTGCAAATTCTCATATTCCTTGAAGAGAATTTATTGTTCCAGAACGTTCAACCCCTCATTTCACACCCTTAGAGGGCTAATTTCCAAAAATTGCTTCTTAGTGCTAAATTACGTTACATAAGGAACGTCTGAAAAATTCATACTTCTAAAACCGATTTTAACAAATTTTTGTACAAATTTTCATCCCTTATTTTTTAGGGGATGCATGCCTAAAATTTGCTTCTAGGTACTCACTTTCATCATTTAAGGGACCTCTGAACAGAATTTCATACTCCTAGTCCTAGAACGGATTTTATATAAAAAATTATACAAATATTCACCCCTAGTTTTACCCCCTTAAGGAATGAATTCCAAAAACCACTCTAATTATTCAATTACTGTATCGTGCTGTTGTCCAATAACGGCAAAAGTGTAAAATATATTGACACACACTGCTCATTCACGCCGGTTCGAGGCCGGATGAGATTGGATATCTCGTGAGTAAGAGTCGATTTAGACACTTGCTCGGTCATTGACCGAGGACCGCTGTTCGGATTCCGCGTAAACAAAGTAGGCCCCGTCCAAATTAGCCCTGGCAGCAAAAAGGAGATGTTAACTTCAAATCTTTTACTTTACTTTATAGTATTACATTATAACATTATCATGTCATAATATTATGAAATAATATTTCCTACTACCAATTTTTTTAATATTGGTACAGCAAACTTATCAGTATAAAGTTTTACTTATCTTTATCCTTTTTATTGCTATTTATAATTCTGAATACGAGGATAAGAAATTTTAGTTTTCAGTACGCCTATGACCGAAAGCGAACGTCTACCTCCCGCTTCATCAGCGGCCATAATTGGATGGAATCAGGGATGAGTAAATATAAAGGACCATAAAATTAATAAATTTTGCTGGTCTGCTGCAACACGTAAGAAATATTTATTGATGGATCAGTATGACAGAGAAGTAATAAAAAGGCCGTTTTTATGAATAACAAAATGGTATTTGAACATCATAATATAATCATATTGAATTGACAATAGATTAATTTATCAGCTATCCGCAGAAAATTGACAATAATAATAAAAACATGACACATGGCAATTAATATAATTCCAAATTAAAAATGGATAAGAGTTTTCATTCATAATAGTAATACAGATATATTTCAAAGAACTTTACTTAAAATTAAGTTTTTTAATTTTGTACTAGTTTATAGCACTTGGTGGTATAACTTGACAAAATAATATCAATCATTAAATAAAGCATAAACGAACCAATAAATAAACAAAAAGGTTAATTTATTTAATAAAACGTACAACGTACGGCTTTGTATGCCGATTGTCGTGTGTATGAAGAATAAAGTCAACGTTTGTTCAGTACAATACGATATACTGAAAGAGAAAAGACTATAAAATACGGGAGAAAAATGAGAAGTTTATTACCTATCCACTTAATCCGGATCGGTCGACAATAGAATTTGTGATATTTACAACATTATGTAATTAATTGATTATCGGTCCTATTATGTAACTGAGGATGTACGTAACTACGTAATGAGCATATTTTTGGTTAGTTTATTTAATGAAGCGTACACACGGCTTTGGTTGCTGTTCTCGTGTGTCAACGTATTCAGTACAATACGATATATTGAGAGAGATGCTGATGCTCTATTACGTAGACACGTACATCCCTAGTTGCATAATAAGACAGATAATCTATTAATTCGAAACGTACTAAAAGCGCAAATTCTGTTGTCGAACAATGTAATCAGCATGATTACAGATTAAATAATTATGGAGGTGCATATGAAACATTAAACGATTCATCGTTGTGTTAAGTTATACCACGTAATTTAATAAAAAGATCAATCGTTTAATGTCTCACTTCACACTGGCTCACTCCATTATTATTTAATACTGATTAGAATGGTCGACAATAGAATTTGCACTATTTACTACGTAATACAGTATATTTTTTGGTTAGTTTATTTAATGATATAACCGATAATGTACACACGGCTTTGGGTGCCGATTGTCGTGCACAGAGTCTATAGACTCTGTGTTTGTATAAATGAACAAAGAGAAAAGAGCAAGAATTTTCCCCAGCGTATGAAGTTGAGCTCCGGATTAAGTGGATAGGTAATAATTTTCTCTCCCCGACTTACAAGATTGTCATAGCGATTCACTTCTAGATATGTAGGTAAATGATGACTAAAATAAACGACCCAAGATTTTCTCTTGCCGACCAGTATATTATCGTAGTCTTAAAGAAATTAGAATAAAATAAACTATGTTAAATTTATGATTATGATTAAGTGGATAGGTAATAATTTTCTCTCCCCGACTTACAAGATTGCCATAGCGATTCACTTCTAGACATGTAGGTAAATGATGACAAAAATAAACGACCCAAGATTTTCTCTTGCCGACCTGTATATTATCGCAGTCTTAAAGAAATTAGAATAAAATAAACTATGTTAAATTTATGATTATGATTAAGTGGATAGGTAATAATTTTCTCTCCCGACTTACAAGATTGCCATAGCGATTCACTTCTAGACATGTAGGTAAATGATGACTAAAATAAACGACCCAAGATTTTCTCTTGCCGACCAGTATATTATCGTAGTCTTAAAGAAATTAGAATAAAATAAACTATGTTAAATTTATGATTATGATTAAGTGGATAGGTAATAATTTTCTCTCCCCGACTTACAAGATTGCCATAGCGATTCACTTCTAGACATGTAGGTAAATGATGACTTAAATAAACGACCCAAGATTTTCTCTTGCCGACCAGTATATTATCGTAGTCTTAAAGAAATTAGAATAAAATAAACTATGTTAAATTTATGATTATGATTAAGTGGATAGGTAATAATTTTCTCTCCCCGACTTACAAGATTGCCATAGCGATTCACTTCTAGACATGTAGGTAAATGATGACTAAAATAAACGACCCAAGATTTTCTCTTGCCGACCAGTATATTATCGTAGTCTTAAAGAAATTAGAATAAAATAAACTATGTTAAATTTATGATTATGATTAAGTGGATAGGTAATAATTTTCTCTCCCCGACTTACAAGATTGCCATAGCGATTCACTTCTAGACATGTAGGTAAATGATGACTAAAAATAAACGACCCAAGATTTTCTCTTTGCCGACCAGTATATTATCGTAGTCTTAAAGAAATTAGAATAAAATAAACTATGTTAAATATGTTCATGTATACTACTGAAATGAAGATAATATATCTAAGCTAAATGTAATCTATTACAGTTGTAGTAAAATGAGTAACTAATTGTCGAAAATCCAGATCCAACCCTAGATGCCACATTTTTTTGAAACGTCTACTTATGCGGTTTGAAATTTTGATGCAAAATCTGGCAATACCGCTCAGAAGAAATGTACCCACCCATACCAACCCAACTTTTTTCTCTTTTTAATACATTTGATTTGCCATTAAGCTGCCTACATCACTGTTTTACACGTTAAAATCCTATACACAGAGTTGACCTGTCCCGATGTGTATATTGGTTTATCATAAGATACTTTCACTCTCTCCATTTGAATTGCACCCAGATTTTCAGTAAAAACCAACGAATTTTAAAAATAATTTTTAGCTATTAATGTTTCGGCTCCATACTGTTTAACTTTATTTTTCCAGTGAGTTATCGGTTTAATATCCACACGTTTATCAACATTTTCCTGAATGAATATATGGTTTAAGAAACGGTTACTGTCTAAATTTAATTGCTCTATGAATTTTGATTAATTCAAGACCATTTTTTAGCGCCTGCTGAAGATTTTGATAGTGGATTGTATATTTTTCTTTGTTTTCTAAATTGCAAATTCATTTTTTTCAGTAGAACCAGGTGTACAAATATTTTCAGTCAAAAATGGGAATTCGTTGTGTTTATCATGTAAATTTTTTGGATCTTTGGTATATCTACTTCAAATACATAGCCGTAATCTGAATATTGTGATATAGACATTATATCAAGATTTTTAATTTCATCTTTTGATAACCAAGTGAAATCTCCTACAGGCAGGTACTGACTCATACTATGTGCGTACAAGTTTGTTGCATCTAAATACATAATATAAGAATTGTGTTTTGAAGAGTCAAAATTTGGAATAAAAAATTTGTAATAAAAAAGTTCTGGAATACTTTGACCAAATTTGTTAATTTTTAAACTTTTAGTAGGAATTTTTGTAACCACATGATTACAATCATTCCTTTGATGTATTGCTAATTTTTCATAAGAAGAAAAATAAATTAAACACCCTTCACAAAAATATTTCTTATGTCCCTTTTTATTAATTTGAGCTGATCTTAATCTAGACATGTTTTTTATCCAACAATAATGTTTATTTTTACCATCACTTATTAGTAACAGATTCACATGGTTTGTTAAATTTTATCACTATAATAAAGAGGTCCAACTACTTCATGTTTTAACTTATTGTCTTCGAAAATACTCTCTAGACCATACACGTTCACGGATATTTCATTTAATTGTTCAAATTTTGATATGTCTTTAAAATCGAAATGTGTAAAAAAATCAGGATATGATGTTGTTCTGTCACTATTTACTTCAACTGGAAACTTTGCGCTTATAAGACTCCATTCAAAACAAAATTGATCTTTACTATATCTCTTGGTAAAGGAATGTATGAAGATCCTCTCATAGGATTACATTTTTATTTACATTGATTTCCAGATATAAAATTTTTTGTAAAGCCCATCCGGATCCATTTTCTGCGAATATAGATATTTTTTCTTTAACAGTGTCGACATAACATTATCGAGGTTACTTCCAAAATGTATAACTTTATTTCGTGTGTTGAAAGATTTTGTCCCAATAACTTCCTTAGATTGAAGAACAAATTGGCCAAACAACTCTACATTTATTTTCAGTGAATGATGTTTTATTAATTCCTCATTAATTAATTTATCAAACTGGTTTTATATCTTCAAAATATTGATCAATTTCTATATAATCCTTAGATGGAAGTAACATAAAAGACACAATTCGGTTTTTAAGGGCCGATTTTATGACTCTTACATTTTCACTATTGTTTTTTATCACAACACTTTTGTGGAGATTTGATCGTAAATGTGCACTGATTTTATTTTTTATGAGCCATATACCGCATTCCCGACAAAATTTTAAAGTTATTTTTGGAACTTTGATGTCAACTTTACACTTCTTTTCAGGAATATCTGAGATGTCATCTGCAGTCTTTCTTTTTATAGCAATTGTTAATTCAGATCCTGAACAACTGAAACGGAAAATACATGATTCCTTTTTGTGTCCGTATACATTTGTTCTATGTTTGAAACACTTGTTACATTCACTGCACTTAAACATAACGACAACTTTTGTAGGTTTTTCGTTCGATGTGGTGAATGTCCTTTATTTAAATTCATGGGTTTGATAATTCAGCTTCTAATTTTTATAAACATCGTCTATGAAAGAAACTGTCTTCTTTACTCTATGATAAACTGATTAGTACTGGGATAACGAGTAATGATCCTATTCAAAATAAGCGAAGGGGAAGGGGGATAGCAAACTGTGGGAGGATTTTGAATCTTTCGGGTTAGGATCGTGGGTAGGGGGATTTTGCAACCAGAGAATATGGGGTGGGGAGGGGTGTATCTGTATCTTCTGCGTTAGAATCGGCCTATTCCACCTACTTATGTCAAGACTATAGATTTAGATATACTTTACTTGAATTGCGGCTCATACATGTAAACTTACTAGTAAGTACCATGAGAACGTTCATTAATTTAAGACGCTTTTGACATGTTTATATAATCTATTTAATTTCATGGTTTTGACAGATATATTTATTGAGTATTTTAGCTTTATTATCTGTTCAAGTTAACACTGACATCCTGCTATTGAAGATCACTTTAACTTACTAATGTAAATTGTAACTTTTTGAAATTTCGTTTTGCATTGCAGAATATTTTTTTGTATAGATTGTCTTCGATTTTGGATATATTTAGAGTTGCTATAATTAATCAGATAATCTGGTAATATTTATAATTATGAATAGTTTAATTTGTTTTACATTTGAGTTCTGGATAGCTATTTAATCTTATTTGCCGAGCCACACTGTTTAATATTTACTAATTAATATTGAGGAACATTTCGTAACATTAAATGAGTCAACTGATTCTATTGTCTTATTTAGTTTAGCTTAGTATTTCCCACTTTAGTTTAAGAACAGCACTTTTACTCCGAGGGTCTTAAAGTGGGTGGCGCTTATTTATATTTTTCTTTTAGGTCATATAACCCCCCCTACTCTCCGTAGAGCTACCGATGGGCATTGACCTGCTTGAGCTGTAAAAGTATTAGTAAATAAAATATAACTGTTAGATTGAAGCTATCTCATTCCTTTTAATAAATATTTAACTTTGGAAGTTTATCCATTATCCATTACCATTAATATTGTCAAGGTGTATTACTGGTTGCATAACTGCGTACTGCTGAATAGTCGCGGTGTGCATTGAGGAACCTGGCGCATTCGCCAAAAAGTAAAGAAAATTATAGAATTCTTTAGAAAAATCTAGAAACAACCGCCAGAGGGTATATAAGGCCCGCGCTTTGACAGTTGGACAAGTTTAAAGTTTAAAGTTTGAAGTTTGAAGTCTGAAGTCTGAAGATAGTCTGAAGTCTGAAGTTTGAAAATACCGCGAAATACCGTTAGAGTAATAGTAGTTGCATAAGTTGTGTTGTAAATAGTATAAGTTGTGTGTACAGAGTGAAACAAATAAATTCGTTAAGTATTTTATCGTGAGTTTAAATAGTGGACCCACGGAATCCGTAACAATATGATTTAATAATTAAATCTCTCTCCTCTCTTTTTTTTATATATACATATTTTTTGTGTAACAAATAGTTAGACAGAAATATTGCTGTCCTTGCCTAGGCGCCATACTTGTCGTCAGGAGGTGACAGGAATGACAGTAATGATTGTTTCCAATTTTCCTATTTCACTGTCACTCCCCTGGTCAAAACTACAAATTGTTCGATAGCCCAATTAAAATTTTAATTTTGACATTGATCGATCTCCGTCAATAAAATTACAAGCTCAAATCAAATGACAATGTAAATTGCTAAAGACATTGTGCTGTAATTTATGAAATGCCGTAATGACGTCACAAATCTGGTTGTCAAGTGAAAAAGGGAGTTCTACAATATATTTATATAAATGTCTTTTACGACGAGAGATGGCGACACGAAAATGGAACCGATTTATTACAAGGAACTTGGGCTTCTTTTTCGTCAGTATATTCAATAAATGACGTGACGGTAAATGATAGCTGAACAAACAATAGTCAAGTTTTAAATTTTTACAAAAAAAAAGACAATAAATATGCGATTTTACGATTTTTTTTGTATATTATATGCATGTGTATATTATATGTAATTTTGTTATCACGTGTTAGAATTAAACTACCGAAACTACCAATTAATTACCTCTTTTCCTTCTATATCGTGTGCTATTTTTATTTCTTCTTGATCTAAATTAACTGGATGTACTGTAAAATCAAACTTCAATTTGTCAATTGGTAAGTTGTATTTTCTTGCGTAAGTTTGCAAAGTACCAGTTAGAAAGCCTTGGGGGAAATAGAAGCCTGATATCCAATATGATGTGGGATATCCTGATCTCGCCCAAATCTAATTACAAAATTTAAATATAAAAGAAAAAATATACAGTGTTTTTCAATGATATGCTAATGCTAACAAAGGGGTTTTTTGTAGACCATACTCATTATTTATAATGATAGAATGAAAGAAATTAGTGATTAAATAATTATACATCTAACAACCAAGAACTACGTTAAAATACTTAGCAAAATATAAGTTTGTATTATATTAAATTTATATATAGGTTATGTCGTGAAATTTTAATTTTTACAGTTAAATTTGGGTATATTATTTTTTTCCCAATTTTATTTTATTCGTCAGTTGTTTCAGATCCGTTGTTCAGAAACTACCGTATGATTAAAAAAATGCCCAGTTGGCTTAAAAATGAAACTGGATAACATTTTCCATATAATTCTACATATAAAATGACAGCTTCATTTCATAGCCATCGCTGATGTTTTTTTCGATCATATTATACTTACAGTTATAAAGTCCAACCTCAAAGCGAGATCTTTAATCCAGCTTCCCAAACTTTTCAATGAATTGTATGCTCTTTTAGTCCAGACGTCTGGTACCTATAAATTAGAAAGTATCTATATTGTTATACAACTTATCGTCTAATGGAAATAAATTATTGTACAAAATCTAATAATCTTTATAAAGCACTAATTCACCCCAATACAGTAAAACACTATACTTTTAACACTAAACGCAACCAGCTAATATCTAATATCTAATAGATAGTACTAATATACAGGGTTGTCCGAACTGTATTCCGGAAACTTCGGCAGCATTATGGAGGGCTTAAAAAAGGAGGTTTATCGGCAATGGGCATATTTGAAATTTCTGTTCCTACATTTAAGCAGGTTCCTCGGTTTGACAGAAAAAACACTGCGATCGATACTGGGACTATATTTTCATTGTTACTATACGGTTTAAAGCCCAGTTCATGCACTTGCAAAATGCGATTTACTAATTGCAAAATGCGTTCTTTTTGCCTTGGAATTGGTCGCTTTCAAGGTCTTCTTTGAAGGTAGCCAATCAGAACGCAAGCAGAACGAATTTCGCAATTCGCAAGTGCATGAACTAGGCTTAAGTGTGTTTTTGCTAAAATTATAGTTAATTTGTTGAATTTTTAGCAGTGTTGTGAATGAGTGTTGTAAAAAAAAACTATACAGTAGAAATAGCTCTGTACCTGGCTGTAGAAGTGGAATTGGTCGCTTTCAAGGTATTCCTTGAAGGTAGCCAATCAGAACGCAAACAGAACAAATTTCGCAATTCGTAAATCGCAATTCGCAAGTGCATGAACTAGGCTTAAGTGTGTTTTTGCTAAAATTATAGTTAATTTGTTGAATTTTTAGAAGTGTTGGGAATGAGTGTTGTATATATAAAACGTATATATATATATATATATATATATATATATATATATATATATATATATATATATATATATATATATATATATATATATATCGTATATAAAACAAAGAAAGAAGTTATCACAGAGGAAACTACAAACAGACACGAAGAAAGAATTTCTTGGGCAAGGCCACAGAAAGATTAAGTCATGATACACTGACCAAAACATGACTACCCGTAGACACTCAGTGTTTCTGCCTTCCGGCTTCATCAAGCTGGAAGGCAGAAACCTGAAGTCTACGAATATCCAGTCTGATCATGTATCATGTTTAGTCTGGACTGAACAATAATCTCTTCATTCAATGAATTTCCACGATAACACTGCTTGTTTGTTGTGTTTTCTCTGAGACCCAGGGTGATAGCGGCGAGGTGTGTTGGAACGCCTCCGCGGCGGTTTCTCGGTAGTAACGCTTCAAATTGTAAGCTACTGCCGGACCAGCTACAAATGGCGCCTTTGTGCCTCGTTTGCTTCTCCTTTTCTTTCTCTTTTTTTCAGGATCGCTAGTTCATCGTTGCTGATTCCTCCCGTATTGATGAAGCCGGAAGGCAGAAACACTGAGTGTCTACGGGTAGTCATGTTTTGGTCATGTATCATGACTAGTCTTTCTGTGGACTTGCCCAATAAATTTCTTTCTTCGTATATATATATATATATATATATATATATATATATATATATATATATATATATATATATATATATATATATATATATATATATATATATATATATATATAGGGTTGTTCACCACATACGACACGGAGTATTGTAGCTAAACGATTCACCACATACGACACGGAGTATTGTAGCTAAACGATGAGATTTTTACAAATTGTAAGTTTTGGGTTCGATGAAGGACTATTAGAGGTACAATTTAAAAATAATTTTACAAGATACAGAGTGTCCCAAATAAGTAAAAAATATCACAGTTGTATTTTTTTAAATGGAACACCCTGTATATTATTTCATTTTTAGTTTCTACGATTAAAATAAAGGTAAATTTGATTAAGGTTTATTATACTTAAACCTTACCGTTTTTGAAATATTTTCAATGTTGTGAAATTGCAGTAAAAATTTTAAGGCTTCATTTCTCCAAGGGTATCAAAGTTTTTAATACTAAATATTTACTGAAGTTTATTTATTGATCAGTTATTTTGTTGCAATAATAAAAATAATACTACCTTATACAGAGTGCCTAAAAATTAATTTTAAATAATTATTAGCTTCAAACGGCAATAACTTGTTTAATTTAAACGGAACACCTTGTATATTTTACGAGAATCAGATGCACAATTTAATTGTCTATCAAATTATATTATACCATTTTTTACCTATCTCTTTAAGTTTCCATAGAAAATGCATTTTCTTGTAATTTAGAACTTATTTATCAATATACCCATGGAATATTGACATTTTAGATTATTTTTAAAGATGTACCAAATTTTTAAAGAGTACAGATACTAAAATTGTCGATATAATTTGTTTATTTTATTAAAAAATAAAAAAAAAATGTTTAAATATTTGTTAAAGGGGACCAATTAATATGATTCCAGTATTCAAACTACATTAACTGACTGTTTGCGTTGATTAATAATAATTGCTCCAAATACTAAAAAACTGAATTTTGTATGGGTATTAGACAGTGTGATAAAAAGAAACACCTTAAAAATGATATTTCAATTTTTAACAAATCCTTATTTATAACAACAGAGACTTTAATTTTGATAACTTATTATTATATTGATTTCTGACTCAAATCCACATTTACTTAGAATAATTTATTAACGAACACAATTAAGTATGTATTTAATTAGTATATGGGCGGAAATAATGATGTTATATTTAATTAATGGTATACTCTTTTATAAAGATTTAAATAGTTTTCTTTTTGCATACAAATGGGCTAGTAATATTATCGTTTTGCTAAAAACGATAATATTACTAGCCTGTACATTTTGTACATTTGTTGCTTTAAAAACAATCTAAAATGTCAATATTCCATGGGTATATTGATAAATAGGGTCTAAATTATAAGAAAATTTTTTACGAAAAATTGAAGGGATAGTTAAAAAATGGTATAATACAATTTGATAGACAATTAAATTGTGCATCTGATTCTCCTAAAATATACAGAGCGTTCCGTTTAAATTAAAGAAGTTATTGGCGTTTAAAGCTAGAAATTATTTAAAATAAATTTTTAGACACTCTGTGTAAGGTAGTATTATTTTTATTATTGCAACACAATAACTGATCAATAAATAACTGATCAATAAATAACCTTAATCAAATTTACCTTTATTTTAATCGTAGAAACTAAAAATGTAATAATATACAGGGTGTTCCATTTAAAAAAATACAACTTTGATATTTTTTACTTATTTGGGATACTCTGTATCTTGTCAAATTATTTTTAAATTGTACCTCTAATAGTCCTTCATCGAACCCAAAACTTGAAATTTGTAAAAATATAATTGTTTAGCTACAATACTCCGTGTCGTATGTGGTGAACAACCCTGTATATATAAATAATAATTAAATTTAACATTCCTAATATTTTGAGTAGAAATTTTTCTATAAATTTATAAATGTAGAACTATGTAGAATGTAGATAACATAGAAGATTGCAACACTGCAAGGTTTAGGTACACCTGTAGAGAAATCTCGGGTGAATAAGCAAGTGACACTAAAAAGTTTTTCAAATTTCCCGGAAAATGTCAAGAAAAATTTTAAATTTTCAACATTTTTTTTCGCAAAAAAACCTCAGGGTGTTTCTGGGGTTGAACTATACTACCAGTTAAAATACTTGCACTTATTTCTGGGACACCCTGTATATTATAAGTAAAGCGAACTATTAATTGAGTATTCTACCAATAGAATCTTAGATGTTTTGTATCAGATCAGTATGTTAATCGAGATCTATAAACCCTAAAAATATTTGCACTTATTTAAGACTCACCCTGTATATTTGTTACCCTGTTATAACTTACTTGATTATTAGTTAGCGCTTTAAAGACGCTCTCCAAACTTTCGGACATAACCACTAATCCTTTAATGGCTTTTTTTAGATTTACCATTGAAGAGTGGATCAATTTTAGCAACTTATTATATCTATTCACTTCTTGAATCAGCACTGTTGTTAATGATGGTAATCTATTCTTATCATCTCTCTAAAAGGTTAGCAAACTTTTCTAGTAGATAATAACTAGTTTATAAATATATACCGTGTGTTGCATCATCAACCTGAACATAGGAAATCCCATGTAAATTTTAAAAATGATAAAGCAGTTAGTTCATGTTGAATAATTTATACGAATTCGTTTTTGAGTTATGAAACATATAAAAATACTAAATACATAATTCTGATCAAACAAACATAACAATTGTCACGCGTTTTGGCCTTAGCTTGGCTCTTTTAAATTTCAAAAAAAGTAGAAAAAAATAAGTATAAAAAAAATATATTTAATTAACGATTAAAGAACCTGTGGAAATTACAAGAGTCTAGTCGTGAACAAATTTATGCCCTAACTTAGAAAGCTCGGAGATGTGGGGGTAGATTAAGAGGGCCACTAACTTTAGACGGCAAAAGTCAGAAATCCCTCAAGATATCTTTCTCTGCCTCGTAAGCTACATAAATAGATAACTGAAATAAAGAAATAAACAAAGAAAAAAAAAATACTATTATATTTTAGCCTTTAGTAATTTAATTTGACATAGGGCCAAATGTAATATAAATAAATAAGGCAAACTGGTTAGTTTCAGTACCCTCTATTGAAATATTAAAAATAACAAGGCGCAGATAGTAAATACCAAATAGTAATTGCAATATCAGTACTATTTAGATTAAATAAATCAATAAAAAAATGGGCACCAAGAAAAATATAGATATAACACAATACCGAACACAATACGCAAGTAGCAAAATTACGTAATAAATAGGTAACTACCTTTCGTGATCAGGTAAGATTTACAAAATCTATGGAAAAGATGTAGAAACAAAATATTTTATGGGTATAAGTGGGGAGGCAATGTGTACAATTTAAAATTATTTTGAAATATACAGGGTGTTTCAAAACTAAGATCCATATCAAAGTTATATTTTTTCTTATGGAACACCCGGTATTTTAAAAATGTCTATACCATAGACTTAAAATAAAATATAGACTACACTATTTACATCTCAACGCGGTCAAACAATCTTTTTTGTACACATGTTTACTTCTGGGTACAGTCGACCGAGCCTTCCTCATCCAGCCTATGTTGTCACGTCTATAATATTATCAATATTTTTTTTCTTGTTATACACATATATTGAGATATTAATACTACAGTTTAATAAAGTAGGTTTTAATATTCCATAGATGTATTAAATAGTCCTTATACTACTAAATTATAAGTCGGATACTGTTTAAAAAGGATAAGTTCTTTACAACATGACAACACCGATTAGAGGCGAGGGAGCCTATTCATTCATTTATTACCTTGTAGTACGCGTCGCACATATGCGGTAAAGCTTTGTTGCCGCTATGCAGGGCCGTATCTGGGGGGGTGTTTTGGGGGTTCAAACCCCCCCCGAAATTATGGCCGAAAATTTTTAAAATGTAATGATCATTAAGTAAGTAAGTAAGAACGAAACAAAAAAGAAGAAGAAGAAGATGGATGAATATCAATGACTAAAGAATACAAGGACATGCCAACGCCCATACGGGCCATCAACGACAATTTTAGCGATTTTTAATAGTTGGTTGTGTGTAGTGAACTTTGTATAAACTTTATTACAATGGTAATTTGTTCAGCTTTTCAAGTGTAAAAGGCGCAATGATAAGAAAAGAGCCAGAAGTTACGTTTTATAGGGAAATTAACAGTCCCCTACATCTTTTTAGCGTTTTTTTATTGAATTCGATAATTATTTTTCTGATATTATATGTACTTGATATGTACTATACGTCGATACTAGTTATGTACCCTTTTGTTAACATTTTAATACGTTTTTTTCGTAATTAATCAGTATGATACCACCCGATACACCATAGGCGTAGTGAAAACATAATATCAAAAATATAAATATCCCTTCAAGCGGCAATGTTAAGTAAAATATGTGCCACGGCACTGTTTGGAAGGATGGTCACAGTTTGGGCTCGGGTGCTATTTGTCCTTGTATTCTTTAGTCATTGATAAATATACATTATACACCCTAACCTCACTTTTCCATGTCATTTTCGATTTTCGACTTTCAACATTCAAGTGTTTAAAACAGCAAAAGTTTGACAAGGACAAGCTTTTGAATGTTGTGTGTTTTGCTGGTCATTAACGCGATTAATGTTTGTTATTGTTCTGCTATTAGACAAAGAATTCTTGGACTATGACACTTTAGCGGCAGAACTAGACTTGTGGCGGCAAAAATGGAAGCAGCTACCTGCAGTCGACCGACCTAAAATGCCATCGAAACGATAATCGGAGTGTAATATTTCCAAATATATACATTTTATTAATGATCCTAGCAACTCTACAAGTGTCAACAGCTACACGAGAAAGGTCTTTTTCAACTCTAATGCTGCAATTATGCGGTATTCGGCGATCTCCGATCGGGGCTTCGCCGATTTCCTATGTGTGCGGATGAGGAAGTCGGAGTTCGGCGACCCAATCGGCGACGAGAACGAGCGCTCGTCTCTATGTTGTTGCTATCAGAGCCCGCATGTGTGGATGGAAAGGCGAAGTCCGATCACGAGCGTTCGGTAGTTGACGAGCGTTCGGTAGTTGACGAGCGCTCGGAGTTCGCTAAATGCCGCATGTGCGGTTACGGTATAAGACGATTGAAGGACTCCCTACGTAACTCTACAGGTCAGGAGCGATTGACAGGACCTGCTCTATTAAACGTACATAGAGAAATAAATATCGATATCGAAGAGGTAGCCAATCGTTTTCAGGAAAAGACCCAGTTTATCCTTTAAGATTAATAATTTTTACCTGTTACTTTTTAAAATTTTATTTTCAATTAAGATTTGAGTGTAGCCCCAAAGCGATTTTTTTTTATTATGCTTTTTCCTAACAGCTTTTGTACCCCCCTCCAAGCCAAACCCCCAAATTTTGGTCTAGATACGGCCCTGAATAAGCTGACACTAAAATTTAATGCATATTTAAATGGGATAATTATTTTCATGTGAAACAAAACTTTATACATAATAAGACTACAGGGAGTACATAATTACAACACTGTTACTGACATTTTTGATTTAATGTATTGCTTGGTATTTGTAGATCTATTATTGTATTGTGATTACAATTGCCTTCTCCATTGATGCATCCTAATTTAAGATTACTGATTTTCTAATACGTAATTAAAGTGAAATTATTTTTCCTACCATTACATAAATAATTTCTTCCTACCATTAGGTAGATACCTGAAAGGTTAATAAATTAAAAACGAATTTATTAAGACATTTAAACTGTTTACCTCATTTCTCACATATTTTTGACACAAAACATTATAAATAAATAAAAAAATATTCGTATACCAACTGAATTAAATATTTCATTTTGAATAATAAAAGTTCTTTTTTACAGGTTTATTTGGCATTATTTGCATTGTCTTTTGTTGTTTTCTGTTTTGTGCGAGTTTAATAACCCACAAATAACCTTAAACAGAAACATAACCTTAAACTACAGAACTACACACCATACTAGGGATGTAGAATTCGAATCGATTTTAATCGGAGATCGATTTTTATCAAATCGACGTGATTTTTATCACGATCTTTTGGTATAATGGGTATAATCGATTTTTTTAAATCGAAGACCGATTTTATTTATACAGTTTACAGGTTTATTTATTTGTTGGAATAAGATAAAACACTTTAGTTTTGCTGGAATATTTGTTTGCAGTGCATCCCTAGTAAAAGGCCATCTAGCAATGAATTGAAAAATTAAGTGTAAGTGCTCGCTGCCGCATGCGCCGATGTTTGTTTATCGCTTTGATATCAGGTGTCAGATTTTTATCGGGGCTTCCCATATTTTTATATTTTAGATAACGTAGAATATTCTTTGATTTTACCTTAATTCTTTCTTGTACTTTTATTTTATTTTTGGGACATCCCTACTCCATACCTTAAACATTTAGAAAATTGGAAAATTGATTTATCTATCTTTATACAACCACCAAAACAACGATTGAGTTGTCCTTGACTGTACAGAGCTGAAAATTCAAAAACTGAAATGTTTAAAATGTAGAGTCAGGACGTACTCCCATTACAAGGGAACACATACTATCAAGTATCTACCCAGATAGCACAAAAGGAACATTTACATTCTAAGAATATTCCTCCTAAGTTCTTATAAATATATTCTTTTTTTAATAAGTATGGCATATGAATAGTACATTCTACTACGAATGTGATTTAAAGCTATGTTATCAGCATGACCTTAGAATGTCTTCTTAAATTATGGTTTACAATAAATTTTAAGTATCTGCTATTCACGTTCTAAACATATCAATATCTGAATAAAAATACAGGAGAATAAAAATGATTTCGAAATGAAAAAATGAATACAATACATTATATTTGTATATTTTCTTACTATCAGTTACTATTAAATTTTTGTGTATTAAATAATTAGGGATTTTATATATTAGTGTATATAGATGCCCTGTAAACAAATATTCAAGCAAAAATACAGTGTTTCTTATTCTAACAAATAAATAAACCTGTAAAACTGTATAAATAAAAACGATCTTCCATTATGAAATAAAAAGATCGATTATACCAAAAGATAGTTTGATAAACTCGATAGATTTTAATCGATTTTTTGGGTAAAAAGATCGATCTTCGACTGAAATCGATTCGAATCGTACATCCATAACATAACCTAATAAAAAACAACAAGTGAACTATAAACCACCTATAAACGTAAACGTGCTTCATCCAAACTATTTTAGTAATTAAAACACTGAGATAACGTAAAGATAAGTGATGCAAATAATTATTTTAAGGATAGAATCGGTAAAATAGTTCTTGTTATATTTGTGTTTTCAGTATCTATTTTAAGGTGAGTGAATTTAAAACCATGAGACCTCGAAAAAAAATAGGTTATACTAAAAAATATTTTAAAATTCAACCAAAAAAAAAGGAGCCAAAATCTTATTAAATCAATGTTACGCAAATATGACTTCAAT